ACACACACACACACACACACACACACACACACACACACACACACACAATACTTGTTAGTAGATTAATTCACTGTTGGTTTTGGTGTTTTCTTGTTGAGAAAAATGTAGAATATCATCAGCTTTAACATCAGTACAAATGCAGATGAAGAGTTGAGGAGGCAGCAGGTCGAGTATGATGATTTAATTTAAATAAGTTACAGCTTGAAGTCCAAACAGGACGTAGAAACCAGCAACTTAACAACCTGAAGCTGAAACAGGGAAACAGTAGGACTGAAATACACCCAAGAGACTAATAAAAGATTTGTCTTTAATAAAAGACAAATGCAGGAAGTGAAACCAAATACGACTAATGAGGTCAGTACCTTTCAAAATAAAACAGACTAAACAAATGAATGAAGTAAGGAACAAAACAGAAAACAAAAACCTCCAGATAAATCAGAACTAACATAGACCACGAAATAAGGAAATGGAAAAAAAATGTGGATCTAGGAGAAACCACTAAAATAGTTTTTAATTTGGCTTCAGATTCAGGTCTTTTTATCTAAATCGAAACTCAAAACACTGGCTAGTTGGATCACAGCAGGTTTTGATCTGGACTCTGAAACAGGGTGTATAACAAGCTTTGGATGTTCGGAATTAATCTGGTCTAAATTTGAGTAATCAGGTAGTTTTACTGCACAGTTTAAATGCAAAACTGAACTGGTTCTCTCTCTTTTTTTACCTTAACAAAAGGTTTGATTTGAAAACAGCTCTCTGTGTTAATGTCCAAGTCTGACGAGGTCCACCACAGAAGTGTTTGATGTGGACCAGGTCTTGTGTAAGTTTTTAGGATGCTAATTTTAAAATTTATACCTGTTTCACATTTGACACACGGCGTAAAAGCCAAAACTTTGTTTATGGTCGATTCACCCAAATTCACTGCAAATTCTCTCTCACCTCCACCGGTATTTGGCAGATGGTTTTGGTTCAATGTGTCTCAGATTTCTGGATACTATCTCTTACGTAAATCTACTTCTTCTTCCAAATAGTCGATTTAAAATTGGTTGACAGTGAGGTCTGTGGATTATTATACGCCGTTACTGGAAAGAGATGCTGCTCTAATTTAGTCAAATCGAACCTTTGACTTGATTTGATGCATAAAACAGACTAGATGTGATTTTGTTTGTGTCACTTTATGTTTGAAAAGGTAGGCTACTGAATCTTGCTTTATTTTTCCGACAGTTAAAGGGAAGCTAACAGGAGAAGGTTGGATGAAAGGATACACTCAACCAAAAGAGGGCGATGGAGCACAGGGTGACGGGGGGGGCAAAACTTCTGAAACAGATTCGGTGTTTTCCTGCAGGGGGCGCTGTAAGCTTTGGAGCCACAGGGGGGCAACTTATACTAAAGCGGGTCTTAGAGGATTTCAAGTCCAGGACTAAAAACAGGCTGCATGGTGGGGGGAAAACACAAACACACCAAGAACTGCAAAACTGTTACACACATTACTGCCAAATACTTATTGATCACTGATGACTTACGTTGATTGATCCATCAACCAGCCCCCATTTCTGTGGCGACAAAAAGCAGGACGAGAAAGAAAGAAAGAAGTGAAGCTCAGTGGTTGAGTCGTTTAGGGAGCCCGCAGCGGATGCATCTGTTTTACAACTGCACCACGTGTTCAGGTATGCTAACTGTTAGTCTGTGTATTATATTCAAACTCTAAAAAGGTGCAGCTCACCTGTCCAGCCGTGTCGCAGAGCTGCAGTCTCACTGGTATTCCGTCCACCACAACCATCACTGAGAAGATATAGAAAGCACGTGTTTGAGTGTCTTTACAAAGCGGACATGGACACCATATAATATAGGCTTTAAAACGGGAAACTTGACATGTAACCTTAATCGTTAACATTTAGTTGTGCGTAAAACTTGTGCGTAACGCTCAAAATCAGCCACATTGATGTCAGACTTTACCGGTGAAGTTGTCAAACGCGGTGGGAACATATTCTGCCGGGTATCCGTTAGTGGTGTAGCTGACGATGAGGCTGGTCTTGCCCACCGCTCCGTCTCCAACCAGGACGCAGTTCAACTTGCGCTCAGGTGCGGAGCCGGACCGCCGGCGCTTCACGCTCAGGGGGAAGTCCCGGTTCTTTAAGCGTCGAGTCGGGACCGGAGGACTGTCTGCCCCGCACATCGGTTCCGACACGCGGCGCGGCTTCTGCTTCCCGACCTCCAGAGGAAGCATGGCTCTGCTCTCAAATGAGGAAAGGATTTGTTTTTCTGTTGCCAGGCGGTTCAGAATCGTTGGGCACTCCCTGCGCGCTGCATCTCCTTGACAGCTCACCTGTTCCTTCCCGCTGTTTGTAAACCAAAACGATATTTAGCTGCGTTTTTGCGTGAACCGTGGTAGAGATTTGAAGCTCGCAGTGGCCCAGCCGTCGGGTTTCTCCGCTCAGCAGGAGCTCCTGATTGGCATTCTCTCTACATCTGCTGCGCTCGTGATTCCTAAGAGGCTTACCGAGCAGAACGCCATATGAGGCTCTGAGTGAAATGAACTAAGCTTACTGGAAAACCTTTATCCCATTGAGTAAAATATACAGCATGTCTCCCTCTTAAGCCAATTACAAGTTGAAATGAAACTCTAAACCTTTACTGACAGTTGATTTACATATGTTATGGAGTATCTTTCTGCAACAGGGGCCAAACAATAAATAAATGGCTTTGTTTTTAGCTTTTTATTTATTTATTACAAAAAGCCTTGCAGAGGGATTACATGCAGTGCAGCTGCTACCAATGTTTTTTAAATGGATTACATTTCACTGTAAAAATGTTCGCTGGTTGAACTCCTGGAGACAAAACCCGCTCCCTCTGCTTCTGAATAATGATCAAATAAATGACAATAACACACAAATACAGACTGCAATTTCTTTTTCTTTATCACTCTGACTCACTACTGTGGTCCTACAACATCCATTCAGTCGGTCTCATCTCCACCTGACTGTTGACAGGTGGAGGGGACGCGGCGGACTGACGCCCCCTAGTGGTGGAGTCACGTCAGCTGTGGAGAGGGAAGCGACATGAGTCACCGTTTCTCATCAGTCACCAGCAGCGAATACACAGCAGAGAGAGAGGGGGGGAGGGAAAGAGAAAGCGGGAGGGAAGGAAAGGGAAGGAGGGAAAGGGAGAAAGAGAGAGGGACACAGAAAGAAAGGGAGAGAGAGCGGACTGAACATTGACACGGAACACAAACCTTTAGATTTTTCTTTGTCCATACTTTTTAACTGGAATGTCTACATGTTCTCTTTTTCCTTTAAAGTCAATGTAATGTTCTATAAAGTGTGTGTGTGTGTGTGTGTTGTGTGTGTGTGTGTGTGTGCGTGCGTGGGAGGCAGAATGTGTTAACATGCTTTGAACGGCACCAAAAACACCAGTGAGTAGGAGTGAAACCATACACACCAGCAACGAACAAGACACATTTTCACACATTTTCACACACACACACACACACACACACACACACACACACACTCACATATACCCTGTACTCCCATCTTTGTGAGGACACTCACAAACATAACACCTGAACCTGATTCCACCCTCAACCTTCAAAACAAAGTCTGAACCCTCAAACAGACCTTTGACGAAATGTCCTCACCTTCCAGACATGTTGTCACTCTGAAGATCTAAATCCTCACAAAGTATACACACACACACACACACACACACACACAAACACACGCACACACGAACACAAACACACGCACATCTTATCTTTAAATTAAAGGAAAAAAGGTTACGATTCAACTAACTCTATACTAAACCACATTTATACTTTAACTTATTTTCTTTAACTTCATTTTGTATTATAATTTGTGTCTCTTTTATTGTTCACTTTATTGTGTTTATATATATAAACACAATAAATATATATATATATATGTATATATACATATATATATATATATGTATATATATATATATATATATGTCTGGATGAAATGTTATTTCATGATACAGGTGAGTTGACCCTTTAAACAGAGGCCTACTCTATTTGTGTGCTTGTTTGTACTTCTACTGCAGACTTGTGAGGACCTGAACCATCACTCAATCACACAACTATCAGCTCCTCAGCGGTGTTGAATCTGCTAAAAAAGATAATCTCTAACCAGCCGCTGACATCGCTGCTTAATGGGATCAACGAGGAGTCAGCGGGAAAACAACAGAGATCCACCAAGTTTGTGAATGGAGACATCGGGCAGCCCTGCTCCAGAAGCTGGCACAAAACCCAGAAACCCAGTCCACACACACACACACACACACACACACACATAACAAAAGCTGCCATTCTCCTCATGTACAAACAGTCTCCCTCCTCCTCCTCCTCTGACATCTGATAAACTAGACACCTAATCAGAATCTTTGGGGACCCCGGGCCTCCTATTGGAGTTTGCAGACCAGGCAAATACATTAACTCAATTTAGAGTTTGGGATTAAGAACTCCCCCTTTATAACACACACACACAGAGATACAAACACACACCATCAACCCTCCTCCTCCTCTTCTTGCCTTTCCTCCTTCTCTCATCTCTCTTTTTGATGGGATCAGCTGAGCGCTACATTCTCCTCTTCTCCCCCTGCACCGTCTCTCTCTTTCTCCCCCTCTCTCCCTCTCTCTCTCCCTCTCTCCCTCGAGGGACCGGGGTGCTCGGACTCTATAGTTATGGGCCGGGGCCATCTGTCACCGTGCGCATTCACGCAGCCACCAGAAGGCCGCAACATGTGCAGATTTAAATGGAGAACCCAACTTTCCCAGGACACACAGGCCTGACCCCGGCAGCCGCGGCAACCCCCCACCCCCTCCTCCCTCCCCGTCACCCCGTGCCTCCCCCTTCCTCCTCTCATCTCCTCCATCCCACGACCATCACCACCATCCAGCATCCCTAAAACCCAGACCCCACCCACCTGCCACACCCTCCTCCAACACCACCAAGAAATACTGTCTGCATGTGAATCAGTAAATTCCCCCCCCCACCCCACCCACCCTAAGTGTGTGTGTGTATGGTAATGGCTGTGCAGCATGCAGGAGCACCTTCACACACAATGATGGATTTCCACCTTACGTAGCAGCTGATGGTGACGGGGGAGGCGGTGGGGTGAGGGATGTGCGAGAAAGAGAGAGAGAGAGAGAGAGATCAGCTGATCAGCTGATTGGTAAAATTGATTGTGAGGGGAAATAAGGGAAAGGGGAGTGTGTGTGTGTGTGTGTGTGTGTGTGTGTGTGTGTGTGTGTGTGTG